CTTTTTTTTCAAGTAGGGTTTTTTATATAGAGAGGAGTGTGGGTCAAAGTTGTACCGCGAAGTCACTGGCGGAGTCTTGCATCTTGAGCATGTCATGGATGCCAGTCGCTTCACATATGTAGGGCGCACTGACGCAAAGTTGGAGCAGCTCTCTCAACCTCGTTTGAACTGGGTTTGTGAGATTTTCTCGTCCCACAAACGAATTGATTAGCGGAAGGCAACTTTGCTATTAAGAAGGGGCGAATGTCTGTGCTGCACACAGTCAGCAAGGGAGATAATAGAGAGAGATCAAGCTTCATTCGCATGGAGGTACGCTCGAACTTTTTTGGACCGAGTGCGTTGCACTATCTTAGTGAGGGCCGGCTGTGCGGACAAATTTTCCCCTCCGCTTGACGATACGCTTTAGATCTCGTAGCTGCTTTTGCGTACGCCATTGCACATTGACCGAGGAAGCAGCTTCTTCATCCAGCAGTTTCCCGACCCATAGCTCCCTCAAGCTGAGTTTGCAGGTAACCCAAACCTCACTTCGTCATCAAAACTGTAGGCTCCCTAGGCTCCCCCTTGAAGCGTTACTGTCGTGGTAAGGTTGCCCGATGATTGAGGGCATCGTGCTTATTCAGCTCCATTATTTTGGCATCTGCAGCTAACACGCTGGCGTCAGGGTGGTGGGAGAAAGAGTTTGAGGAAGCGTTCTGGAGGGGTCGGTGCTGATGGTAGCGGATAAAATCCTTGTGCATATTGCAGAAGAAGAAGCAAGAGGCAAGCGAGTGGTACTAATAGAAAGACCACTCCTTGTTGTATAAGAGCTTACATTACCGGTTACCCCTCATTGGTAATGGACAAAGTAATTTGAGGAAAGAGAGTGACAGAACTTTCCCAACGCAAACTAATAGTACCGACTCCCCATATCGGGGAATCTCGCGACGAATGATAGTGCGACTGTCCTCGCCGTAATTACCTACACTGATACGTCGAATGTTAATTACCTCAAAAGAACGCCGTTCATATTTTTGCCATGCAAAACTTAGAAATTTCTCGAATAAGTAATCCTCCCCTTCCCAAGGCCGTTCTGAACCTGCAAATAGTCGCATACGAAGAAAGTCGTTGCCCGATTGAAGCACAGAATCTCCTATGTAATTTCCGAAACACCGAAGGATGCATATTTCTCTGAATAGAAATTCTTCATGATCGTTGCATTACTTATTGAAGAGCAGTGACATAGCTCTCCATAACTGCGTTTTTCTCTTCCTTAGTATTCTACTTTGAGAAAGTTTGAGAGTCCGAAGAAGGGATATTCTGTACAAACTGTGCCGGATAATCTGCTCCAGTGCGACGCAGCCAGTCAACGGCTAGAACTTTATACTTTTTTTCTGGCAATCCTGTTAAAAAGAGTGGGCAAAACGTCGAAGACGCCGTTACGAACTCCTCTGGATTGGACGAGAATTCCAATAAGCGAAGCACTACTGCGCAGGCGAGAGACCCGAGAAAAAAAAGGATGAGAGAACAAGAGGAGCTGGAAAGAGAGGCGAGTCACGAAAAATGAAAGCAACACGCCACAGCTTTGTTTACAGATAGAGCAGATATGGTATGTTTACAGATAGATTCACTGGTATATAGGTGGGGTGTGGCACCTCCTGTGGGTGGAGCCCCTTCGACCTAAAACGATCCTCACTCACTTTCAAGCCGCAAACGTACGACAAGTTCTGAGAATGCGAAGCGGACTACCTGTACAGGGGAGAGATTCTACCCGCTAGATAATCGCGCAATGTGTCTTCACATGCGCATCGGGCAATGAGGCAAATTTGGTTTTTTTGCTGATTTACACTATCGAAGACCACACAAGTCGTTAGGAAACCCCTGGCTCACTTTACGAGCTGATAACTTTGAAATTGTTTTCAATGGCTTATCATTTCGCATTTTTTCCTATTTATGGGACTTTTTGCACGGACTCTTTCTGGACTCAATTATCGTTATCGTAAATAAAAAAAACCACAAATAACGATATTAAACGACCAACTGTGAAACGAGTTTCAGGCCACATTCGACTCGGAAAGATCGATAATTCTTTTGCTTCAATCTTCGAATTATTTAGAGAAATGGCCCCATATGTCATTAATTGGGCGAAGACAGCAAAAGACTGGCAGTTGTACGCAAGCGAATGACGTCAACACGTACCTATTCCCGTTAGGATTACTAACAAGTTAAAGAGACGAGAAAACAGAAGGCACACTTCCAAGAGGAACGCCAACAATTCGTGACACTTACAACACGAATCGATGAAATACACTGGAGTTTATGCGGCGAATCCTAAGTGCTTAGAAAAAGGACCAAATGTCTCAATACGATTGGCTATCAACGTCTGCGAACACACCAAGAAATCCATCGAAGAGTGAAATCAATACAATCAATATCAAGAGGTTTTTGGCATCGGCTCGACGACGTGTGAACAAGCTTGCGTATTGATTTTTGCTCAATTAGATGATATAGAGCGACAGCGCGAAAGCCACAATGAAAAAGCATTAAGAATAGAGCTTCTTTTCACCAATCGGTTTAAAAACTCGACCTCATCTACTCGAGTACTAATCGATAAGAAACTTGAGCGCTGTTTTTCAGGTGGAAACGTCGTCAATGAGTTTTTAGGGACGATCCGCGCTCATAGGTGACACAGCTGCTGAGGACAAATGGTGGCCAGATAATTCCTGACAGACGTAGAAAAGAACGTCCTGACCTCACAAATCCTGATCGACGTCAGATGGATAAAGTATTTTCAACCATAATATTGGTAACTCGTCAGATTTGCGTAAAAGTACTATGCTAAACTTGTTTTACTGACTTCTAGGGCACATTATAATTGTGTAGATAGAATAAATAAAGAATAACAAAAAAAGCCAAGGACTGTGAAATCAATATCTCGTTGGGTTGACGAACAGCTGTTGCCATTTATCGAGCGTCGCGAGTTTTGACCTACCGGTCACTTCGTTAATCGTTGACCACTGATTTAGTGAGACACGGTTCTCTTTTTCAGTAAATCTTACTTGACTACCCGGTAGTTTGCATTCTGAGAATGTTTACTACTCGAAAGTAATGCATTTCAAGAATGTTTACTAGTCGTAACTCACCATAATGTTCAACATTTACTTCTTATGCGCATAGGGAATGAGTCAGAACCGCCTTCTGGACCACCCAGACAACCACCTGCTTTTCGCTGTCTCTCTAACCCGATTATCACAGGGTTAAGCTTTTTGAAAGCGTTGTAAGGAAGGATCATTGTCAGCAAAATGGAAGGTATTTGCCATGGTTCCAAACTAAATTTTGAAACAACAAAAAGGTTTTTCTAGAGACCTGGCATAACTCTTGAATTGACCTCCCATAATGTAAGTACATTTGCTTCAAAGCAATTTCTTGCCTTTCTTTTTTGAGGCATAGCGCTTTTGATGTTGACTCAAGACACACGCTCTGATATCGTTCCTAATGTTTGCCTAGCCTTATAATGTCGTGACTCAGTGTGGGTGCGATTGTCCCAATGTTTCTCGTCTATCCAGCTTGATCGTTGTCTGTGGAATACGGTATATACTGTCTCTTAATCCTCTTAATCTCTCTTAATCTCTGGCATGCTCAGAAAACTTTGAACTTCTAGGTACGTTTGTGAAGTAAAAGACCTTCTTGAGTTTGCAGTTTGTCCCCCAAGAAAGTCCAAAGATCTGAAATCATTCGTGTATTTGCTCAATTTATGTGATGCCAGTGATTCACCGTAAGCACCACTCAAATAGCGCTATCACGCTGCTATGAAATTTGCTCTGCAATGTTGCCATACTATTTGACGTGCTTTGAAGAGTCGGCGCTTAACCAGTTTGTAGGTGTCCTTCCCTGTACTTGCAAGTAGTCTGGTCCTCATTCTCAAAGACTGTTCCACTTTCGCGTTTTACAGTACGTAGCGAAGGCGTTCCGACCCTCAAAAGTGGCAGTTCTGACGCCCCCATAGTTGCCCCGCCCACCAAAACTCAACGCCTATTCCGTCCCTGGTTCAGTTTTTACACCGTCATTTTCGGTTTCTTTTTTTTCAATGTTAGATGCTATTAGCATTGCATAAGGCAAAAAAAGACTAGTGATTTGGAGGCGGCAGGATATCGCCTTGCTAGCATAAAAGAGCAGGCCTGGAGAACTCTTCCACTGAACTCGTACAGTGGATCTGTTAGAGGTCCTACGGGTGTTTTCCATTTTTTGCCTTTTCCTTCCCTAAAGTCCCTTAGCGACCATGGGTTCGTTAAACACCACGACCCACAAAATACAATCGCGGGGCTTGCCATTCAGGGCACATCATTGGTTGGGGATTTCGGTCGAGCCCGTACGAAAAATCAACGGCCCCTATCAGAAGGCGGGCCAGAAGGCTATTACGCCCCCCCCCCTCTCCCAACAATGAGCAAAGAAGACCTCCCACATTTCTAGCGTAATTGAAACAAGAAAAACCAACTATCGAAAAAAATTTCCCAACCAAATACGACCCCTCCCCTGTTGGGGAATCCCCAGCGATGATGTGCCCTGAGTACGATTACCCCCCCTCCTTATGGCGTCCTGAAGCGAAAAACCAACTATCAAAAAATTTTTTCGTAGTCGAATACGACCCCTCCCCCACCTGTTGGGGAATCTCCGACGATGATCTGCCCTGTTGCCCTTGTGTCCAAGTGGCAGAAGTTTTCGCGCTAGAATCGCAAATTGTTGTGCCATTCACAAACGTGCAGACCATGAATTTAATAGAACTTGGCTGTCATTTCACACAAATTTCGTCACATCATCGTCATCACCTGTTCAACCAAATGTGCACCAATCGTCGATGTCATTCGTGAGACTTGGGGTGCAAATCGCGCTCAAAATCGCGATTCGCACACACTCATTTCTTATCACGCACATACACACACACTGCTTAGCACATTTGTGGCGTTTTGAGACTGTTATCACTGGCACGAGGGCGATGCCATTCTTCTTCATCGCACAACGACGACATGCACACGAATACTGAATCGCATGACGAGGAGGATAGTCGCCATGGTGAGCATTCGAAATATCGATGTTCATAAGCTTAGGCTAAAATCGGCGCCTGTTTAGTTCGTGACCATTCCCAGTGCACATACAGTATCCCAAACAGAAAGTGTACTGTCGTCCTCTTAATCATCGGTGGTCCGCAAAATTCCGTTCCTCATCAGGAACGATGACACCATCGTTAATGATCTGCATTGTGGGTGGTCTGCTCTCGCGCACGCGTTTCTTATCAGAAATTCTTCGGTATGAACCATAAAAACCGAAACATTGCCTTTGTAATCTATGCACATCCTTAACCCTGGGATTATTACAATACCTTCTGTGCGGAGGTCGCATTGTCTTACATCAATCGATTTTCACTGGGTGGTCTGCCCTTCAACAAAATGGCGCCCTTTTCAAGTTGTGTATATGCACATTTCGTTTACAAAGATCCATCAATTATATTTTGCGTATATATACTTAGATGTATTTTTTATTTTCTAGGTTGTCGTTCAAGAATGCGACCGTTGTCACAATCCTGGTATTACTGGGCAATGGTCGCCTTACTACTTGCTCAGGTGAGTCATTTGATCCCTTATCTTTATAATCCTATGTTATTCTAGTTTTCTTTTCGTATCTTTGGGTAAATTGCTGGAAATGGCGTTTCGTTATCGCTCATTGAACACTTCTTATTGATCTAGCGAAGAGGTGCAAGAAAAACAAACATTAATTGGTTTAGGTTTTTTTATCGATCAACTACCATATATTAATCTGTAATATGCCTATTGCAAATACTCTTTTATTACTAGTCATCATGGCTCATCATGGATACGCATTAGGTGACCAAGCTCGACCACTTTTTCATCGGTCAGTACTTCTGGTATACTACTTTTTCGTACTTTTCGGTTTTCTGTGCGTTAATGCTGATTCTAGCTGACCATCGGTTTTGTAAGTGATATCTATTTTTTTAGAATATGCGGTTGTGTGGCATTTATTGCTGTACTATTTGTGAATACGACTCATGCTCTAGAATTACTAACTGATTACGCTGAAAATGGTAATCATTCTCATTCACATGGGGATCATGACCATGATCACGAGAAGCATGGATACGGTTTTGTTCCCAGTAAGTCAATTTGAAGCTGTCTTCACGTAGTCTGTGGAAATCTCCTTAGAGAAACTTGGAGAATTGATATGTAGTTTCAGGGGTACTATTCTAGTAGAATTGTGTTCATACTTTTCGTCGGCGCTTGAGTGTTTGCGGAAAAAAAATGATTTATACTATCGGTATTTACTTCGAGCGCTTTGAGCGGAACGATTGGAGGCCTAAAATGCTCAAAATGCTGGATCGATGCCTTCACTTTCCTTTCGCTCGAGTGCTGGCGTTTCTCCCAAAATGGCTCGAGGTGCTCAGAACGCTCGATCGATATCTATAATTTCCTTTTCGCCCTAAACTCTTAATATGCTCAAAACAGTGAGGAAATTATGAATTCAGCCTATTGTGGGGCACTTTGGTGTAATAATTGTGCCAATTGCTTCCTAATTTTGTGCAATGGGCCCTATAAAACTAGCTGATAAGTGCCGTTTCTGCTCTATTTCTGTTTTTTTTATATATAATTGGTGGGGGGGGGGACTTGATGCCAGAAATGCCAATGGGATTGTCTAGTCCTAAGGAGGGTGACTAGCACCAGGAAGAGTGGACCAGTTCCTCAGTGCGGTTATTCCCCTGCCTGTGCAGTTAAATTTGAATGTAGGTGACGTTAACTTTATAAAAGTATATGAAGGATAAATGATGAAGTCTTCGCCGTTGATCAATCCCTTTGTGGGATGCGGCACGCATTCTACTTCCATTCAGAATCGTAGTGGCTTATTGAATGCGATGTGGCCTATACAATGACTTGCGGTGGCCAGCCAAACGTACTAGTTATCACAAGAAGTGCTGAGCTGTGGGCAAAAGTCGGACCACGGAGCGGGATTCGAACCAGCATCTTCCGCTTTCTGCGGTTGCGTTCCCTAATACGGTACCAAGGCTTACCCTCGACTTACCTCCTCAGTACGAAACCTGCTAATTATTTACTGTCTTCTATCTCTAGGGTAGAAGATAGATCCGCTTGGGTGTAAAGCGATCCGGGATTTGACCCCCTCACCGCGCCACTCCGTCTTCTGCGTGCATTATGAATGGAAATATTCACCTGCTTTTAAATTTCAAGGGCGTTCTGTGCCAAACTCTCCACCCCATTCCATTTCTCATACTGTGCATGCATTTTTTTTATGAAATCAAATGGAACTGGGAACATTCACCCATTAAAAGTTCTTTGAAACCTATTCGGCTGCCTTGAACAGTTTTTTTTTCGTGATCAACAGCACCGTTTACAAACCGTCTTAAGATGTCATGCAGCCCTCCCAGACAAGTGAACTGGTAGAACTGCCACTTGTTTTTCCTGTACTTTTTTGTAAAACATGCTGACAAATACTGTGTAGTGACGTGTCACTAGAGTATAGCGATTGCGCACCCATATTACAATAAACAGTAGTACTATATAGCCATCTTTCCCAACGCAGAAGTTCTAAAATACCTAAGCTGTTTATCAAATCTACGCAGTATTCCCGAAGTAGTCACTTTGCTGGTAGAACTTTCGTCATACAACAGCTCGTAGGGTAGTACCGTGTACAACCGTACTTCTAAGCTCTTTTAGGTGGATAGGGTTATTGAACGGTTTTTATAATATCAGTTTATTACACATATTTATCTAGGATGGCAGTCAGGCAGCTAGAGGTTATGGTATAGGTATCCAGGACTTTCACACCTAAATAATCAATTTTCTTATAGCTTTTATAGAAATTTAATGTCCACAGTTCCTGTGCTGTGGTTTCATTGAGTTGTGTCCAGCGTTAGACGGCTAATAAAAAAAAACAAGAAAATGGAGTAGAAGAAACCTCTTTTCCTTATTTACCTTCAAAGTGCTCTTTGTATCATGATGAAAGTACCGTATCCCGACAAGCTATTGCGCTAAAGTTCTCCAGCTCACTGACTAACCCCTTTTATAATTAAGAAATGATTTCCTTAATCAGATTTTTCACGATGAAATTTCAGAACAGTATGTTATTGTTAGCATATTCGATGTTGCACTCAAATGTCTCGTTTTGGCTCTGGGCCATATTCCATCAATGGGTCTACGCCCTATTCCTCGTTTAGCACTGCATACTCTTAGTCCTACTGTGGTAATTGGTATGTTTCTTGCTATTATCAAATTTGTACTTTTTGAAGGTTACATAGTGTTATGCATAAGGCGTCACCTCTTATATTTGACTTAGCTCCGGCCGACCACTGTTTTTTCGTCACTTTCCTTTTGCATTTTTGTTGGCTCTTATCTATATGAAGGATTTGTATTGAATCATATTGAATTACAAGTGATTAGAAAGCAATATGAAAAAGACCAGAAAAGAAAAAAGCCACTGACATATTTGGGTACCTTTCGCGGGCATCTTTGCTACGCGAAAATAGGGTACTTTTTGTCGCTTCCGAAAAAAGGGACGGTGAGACCTGCTGCGGCATAGCACAGGTCTCAGTTTAACTTTGACACTTATTTATGTTGATTGGGCTTATATAGTAGTTGAAATTTTCACCCGTTTCTTTTCATTTTTTTTTCTTTCGGCAAACGACATGCTACCTATGTAAGCAAAAAAATCTTGGCTTGTTCGAGAAATAAACTTCCTTAATTTATGAAGAAAAAAAGTACTGACAGTTAGTTAGGGGAAAAACAAGTTGCCCGTGGCAAGACCAGGTCGATCCTTGGCATCACGCTTAGGCCATCTTCTGTGCGATACTGCTCAACATTGAAGAATGGAAGAATTGGATATTACGCGCCAAAAGGCTATGGTCTTGTTCGCTGCGAACGCTAGGGCGTTTCAGGGGAGCTGGACTGGCTCGTCGCCAGCCTGTTTTAAGCCAGTTGTGGAAGCAGGCAATCGACCGCAGTTGGTGGAAAAGTGGTCGGCTCCAACTCAGCTTCCTAGCCCCTCCCCACCTCCACCGGTGAAACACCCCAGCATCCGCAGAGCTGGAACTGTAGGTAGACTCCGCCTATTAGCTAACAATAAGCAGGAAAATAGGGGAATCATTGTATTTTCTTTGCCTGCTCTGTGACTCTCTAGTGTTGCTAAGTAGAAAGCTGTCTTAAAGCGCTAGCGTACTATCGTCACGTACTTCTTCGCTCTTCGTATTGAATTGTGAATCAACTTCCTTCAGGAATGTATATAGCTGGAATGGCCATACCACCATCGATTGGTGATTCATGGTTGTGGGAACATGTGGATCCAATTGTTGCCGTGATTATGACAATACTATTTTTCTTACTCATAATACCAGCTTGTGAGTCAATATATAATACGATATTCTCTGATTTATGTCTTTCATCCCTTTCCTTTCAGTCCAAGAGATGATGCCTTACATTTTTGCTGACACTCCAGCTAAGTTTCACGTGGAATCGTTTCAGAATGAGATTTCAGCTACGGTGGGTTTTTACAGTCTTCTTATGAATTATGAATTATGTCAGCTGACTGCAGCGTAGCTTTTGTATCGTATGATCAAGAGTCTAGCATCGTGTGGAAGGCTTACGGCGAGGTTAGGCAGCGTGGGACGCTCGTCATCTGCGCTCTTCGAAGGGAGTACCTCGGGAATGAGTTGCTATCGCGGGTAGAGACGCAGGCAAACACCCTCGTTGACGCCGCCGCGTGCCCCTCCCCTGCCCTCTCGAACAATGTTAAAATATGTTTTTCTTCACACCCGACATTCGCGCTCCACCCCTCATTACTGAGAACAACGTTGACCTACGGAGGATGAGGGAGGAGGAACCACGACGACGGTCAGGGTTCCTCATTTTCCATTATCCAAGCCCATTAAGTGATTACTGTGTCCTCTTGCGACGCGAAAATAGGGTACTTTTTGTCGCTTCCGAAAAAAAAGGGACGGTGAGACCTGCTGCGGCATAGCACAGGTCTCAGTTTAACTTTGACACTTATTTATGTTGATTGGGCTTATATAGTAGTTGAAATTTTCACCCGTTTCTTTTCATTTTTTTTTCTTTCGGCAAACGACATGCTACCTATGTAAGCAAAAAAATCTTGGCTTGTTCGAGAAATAAACTTCCTTAATTTATGAAGAAAAAAAGTACTGACAGTTAGTTAGGGGAAAAACAAGTTGCCCGTGGCAAGACCAGGTCGATCCTTGGCATCACGCTTAGGCCATCTTCTGTGCGATACTGCTCAACATTGAAGAATGGAAGAATTGGATATTACGCGCCAAAAGGCTATGGTCTTGTTCGCTGCGAACGCTAGGGCGTTTCAGGGGAGCTGGACTGGCTCGTCGCCAGCCTGTTTTAAGCCAGTTGTGGAAGCAGGCAATCGACCGCAGTTGGTGGAAAAGTGGTCGGCTCCAACTCAGCTTCCTAGCCCCTCCCCACCTCCACCGGTGAAACACCCCAGCATCCGCAGAGCTGGAACTGTAGGTAGACTCCGCCTATTAGCTAACAATAAGCAGGAAAATAG